TGACACCCGTCTGGAGGCTCCCGAGTTGCACAGCCGCGCGTGTCCGAGGCGTTCGACTACGTAGGGGGGGCAGGCCTTCGAACTGGCTCCGGCCCAGGCCGCGACGCGCGAGGCGCGGCCACATTGGCGCCCCCGCGGGTGCCCCGAGCAACGGCGTTTTGGTGTCCGTTGCATGGGAGCCTGCGTGGCCCCCGGCACTGTCCAATCTGGGCCTGATTTGGACCGGAATTGGAACACATTTGGACCGGATGTGGACCAGACTTGGGCTGGATTTGTGGGGGCTCGGAGAACGAGGAGGGGGAGGGGGAACAGGAGGGGCGAGGAGGCGCAGGAGGATGGGCCAAATGTGGCCCCCGCGCGGTCCAATTGGTGCAGGAACAGCTGATTTCAATGTCGCCGCCCAAGGCTCCCATGAACAGACATCGAACGGCGTCGGTGCGCGTGGGAGCCAGCACGGCAGCCTTGAGCGCCGCTGTTTCTTCCAGGCCCAGCCCAGCGCCGAGAGGGCGTGCCCCGCCGGGAGGCACATGCGCTTGTGGCACGCGCGGGCTCCTGCAGGCTGGCGCTTTTGCTGCCTGTCCTTGGGGCCACGCACGAGGCCCTTTCGGAGTGTCCTCAGGACGAAAGAACCCGGGGGGGGGCCCTGTCCCGGGGGCCCTTTCGGAGTCCCGTCCGGGCCTGTCCGGGGGGTCCCTGTCCCGAAAGAAGCCGGGGGGCCCTGTCCGGGGGGCCCTGCCCTCAGGGCTCTTTCGTCCTGTCCCCGGAACCCTTTCGGAATGTCCTCAGAACGAAAAAACAGGAGAACAACAAGTGGCATAAACATAAAAACTAGGAGGTCCGCGAGGATTTCTCGGATCGGCGCTGGGGCCCCCTCGGCGGCGCCTCCGGTGCCGCCCCTGGCGCGCTCCGCGCGCCAGGGAGGGGGGTCCAGCGCCGATCCGAGAAATCCGCGCGGACCTCTGAGTTTTTATGTCACTGTTTATGCCACTTTTTGTCGCCCTGAGAATGCTCGACGCACAGGCATACTCTCAGAACAGAAACCCGATGTGCTAAAACCAAGCGGCCTCAATCAGAGATGCTCCGAGTGAACATCTCAGGAGGTTCTCAGAAAACTCTCTGGTGGGCCTCAAGGCAATCCAGAACGCCTCGCTACTGCCGTGGACGCCCGAAATGGGTGCGGAAAGAATGGGTACGATGCTAAACAGCACATGCTGCCCAAAAGCGACAGCGACAGCTGTTGGGCACGCGCCTTTCTCTCGAATGGACGACGCCCAGGTTGGCGGGGACAGCCAGTTCTGTTCAAAATGGAGCAGAACTGCTGTTGGGCATCGCACCCATTCTTTCCTAGAGGAAGAACAACGGCATAAACACACACTTTTGGCGCTCCGCGCGGATTCCTTGGATCCGCGCTGGACCCCCCTCCCTCGCGTGCGAGGGCGCGCCAAGGGCGCCGCCAGGGGGACCCCAGCGCGGATCCAAGAACTCCGTGCGGAGCGGCAACAGCTCACGTGTATGGCGTTCTGTTGCCTTCCTCGAATTTTCGGGAGCGGCCAAGAGGAGGGTGTCCAAGAGGGGGGGTGTGCAAATCATGACCGGCGGCATGTGCGCGGCCCAGCGGGGGGGCCAGGGACGTAATGGAATAAGAAGAGGCGCCATGAAATCTGGGGAAATATCATGGCCCACGCCATGATATCCCCCCCCCTAGTCATCACCCTCCTCTTTGCTAGGGAGCCCACAAAGGACGTACGCGCCCAGCTATGTACATGAACACGGCCCCTCGATCCGCGAGACCGGCCGCGCTATACGAACATTTGCGCAATGCGTACTCTCGAAACCAGCGTGGATTCATGTACGTGTACGTCCTTTTGTCGCTCCTGATGTGCCGCCCCCGAAATTTCGCTCGTGCCGAGCTGCTCGAGGACAAACGTCAATCCCGCAGGAGCCCGTGCTGCACCCGGCCGCGCGCGCCCCGCGGCCCGTGCTGCGTCGGGGACCGTGGCGCCCTCGCGCCCCGCGCGAGCGGCGGCCGAGGCGTCTGCCCGGCAGGCGCTCGCGCGCGGGACCCCTGCAGGCCTGGGGCAGCAGGGCGCGGCTGGGGCCACCCGCCCAGCCCTGCGACGAGCATCCCCCGCCCCCCTCGCGCCTGACAGAAATCACGACGGAAGGCTTTTCGCTACCTTCGGCCTCCGGAAGCCCTTGCCGGGCCGCGGGGCCGGCAAGCAACGACTCGGGACGAAACGCCAGTCCCGGAGAATGGGTCGGGACCTCGGGGAGTCGACGCCACAAAAAAAACATGACGTCGAAGGGCTGGGTATCCAAGTCCACGCCCTCGCGGCCTGGATCCCGGGGCTAGGGGAACAAAAAGTGACATGAACATAAAAACTCGGAGGTCCGCGCGGATTTCTCGGATCGGCGCTGGGGCCCCCCAACGGCGCCTCCGCTGCCGCCCCTGGCGCGCTCCGCGCGCCAGGGAAGGGGGTCCAGCGCCGATCCGAGAAATCCGCGCGGACCTCCGAAATATCATGTCTACGACATTCGTCGATCCCCTATCTGGAGGCCCAAAGTGGCCCGAGACGCCGCCAGGAAACGACCCAAGAGCCCTGAAACCGTGCGGTGACCCCGGGCGCGCACTGAGCGCGGTGTGGCCGCCACACCGTGCGGCGGGGGCCTCCGAACCCAGAGGTCTGGACCCCTCCTCTTCCTCCTCCTCCTCCTCCTCCTCCTCCTCCGCTTCCTCAACGTCCTCCTCCTCCTCCTAATCCTCCTGATCCTCCTCCTCCTCCTCCTTCTAATCCTCCTGATCCTCCTCCTCCTCCTCCTCTTCCTCCTCCTAATCCTCCTGATCCTCCTCCTCCTCCTCCTCCTAATCCTCCTCCTCCTAAACCTCCTCCTCCTCCTCCTCCTCCTCCTCCGCTTCCTCCTCCTCCTCCTCCTCTTGTTCTCCATCCTCCTCCTCTTTCTCCTTCTCCTCCGCTTCCTCCTCGTCCTCCTCCTCCTCCTCCTAAATGATTTCCTGATATATAACTCCTCCCTGTCGCACCCCGAGGCCAGTTTCTAGGGCGGTCCGGGCGTTTCGCCTGAAACTTCCTTACCATGTATGACTCTGGAGCTTAAACATTTTCAAAATTTTTGCAGATGGAGGGCGGGTGGCTTTCAAAATGTGGCTCTCGCCGTGGCGCCGCGTACATTCGTTTCAAACATTTGCAAGAGCTTCACGGGTTGAGGGCGGGTGGTTTGCAAAATGTAGCTCTCGCCTTAGCGCCGCCCACTTTTAAAGCCATGCAAGAGTTTCACGGATTGAGGGCGTGTGGTTTTCAACATGTGGCTCTCGCCTTGGCACCGCGCACATTCTTTTTAAAACTTTGCAGGAGATTCGCGGATTGAGGGCAATTCCTTTTCAAAATGTGGCTCTCGCCTTAGCGCCGCGCACATTCGTTCACAAAATTTACGAGTTTCGCGGATTCCCCTGATCAACGTATCAGAAATGGTGTTCAGGAAAGATTCAGGATTACGCGGGTGCAGCAATTATATTGATGCGCGGTGTTGAAGTCCCAAACATGGCATTCTGGCACGGTTCCAGATCGCCAAGACGCAGCAGTCAGGTTGATCCGTTGCGTTGAAATCCCGAAGACAATGTCTTGGCATGCTTCAGGGTCTTCGGGGGTGTCTTCCAACGAAACAGTTCCCTCCATGGAAATGAGCCGTTGTAGGGGCCTATGAAGAGGGAGCTTGGAGGGAGGGTGAATCCCAGCATCGTTGATGACTCTTTGGTTTACACTGGTCCTCCTCCTCCTCCTCCTCCTCCTCCTCATCGTCCTCTTCTTCCTCCTCCTCCTCCTCCTCCTCCTCATCGTCCTCTTCCTCCTCCCCTCCTCCTCCTCCTCCTCCTCCTCCTCCTCCTCCTTCTCCTAGTCCTCCTCCTCCTCCGCCGCTTCCTCCTCCTCCTCCGCTTCCTCCTCCTCCTCCTCCTCCTTTTCCTACTCCTCCTGCTCCTCCTCCTCCTCCTCATCCTCCTCCCAGAGGCCTGGACCCATTCCCCAGGACCCAGATTTCATCCTGAGTCGTTCCCTGACGGCCCCGAGGCCTTGGTAGGGCCCCCAGAGGCCTAACATAGCGAAAAGCCTCCCGTCGCGATTTTTGCTCACAACGCGAAGTCGTGGGCCGCAACTCGTGCCATGGCGGAGGGCCTCAGCCCGCACATCGGCGGAGTGGGCTGCCGCGTGCCGGCGAAGTGCCGCGGCCCTCGCGGGTCGGAGGAGGCCCAGGCCGAGAGAACGGCTGGTCCTTCCCAGCGCTCCAACCGAAGCCATGACATTAGGTCGGGCAGGCCCCCCTACGGGCGGATTTTGGAAGAAGAACAAACAATAATCCAAACATGCAACAAAAATCATCGAACTTAGTCGAAATCGTCCTCATACTATCTTTTAATATGTTGGGATATTCCTCCTGTAGAGGGACATGCCCGACTTCAAACCATGACCAGGACAGCATCGGGCTGGGACAAATCGGGGATTTTTGAGGCGCGGCGGTTCCGGAGGATGTGTCGGGTGCCGAGGCGTTCCTGTGCGCTCTGGGGCGACCCTTCTGTCCCTGGAGCTCGGCAGACGTTCTTCTCCACTTCTCGGGGACTCCCGGGAGCCTCTCGTCGCTGCAGCCGGATCCGCCTCGAGACGAAGCGGGTCGGGATGGACCCCAGGAGAGGTCTGGAGGGTGGAGTCCACTCTGCTGAACTTGAAATCGTCATCTCCACTGCTCGCGCAAACATCCCACCCACCCACCCGCAACTTGGTTTGCAAAACCTCTCAAGACCGACTACGACGACACCGACACTACGACGACACCGACGACGTCTCCGACGACTTCGACGACGTCAACTACGCCGACGCCGACGACGACGACGAAGACGACGACGACGAGGAGTTGAGCGGGTGCGGGCAGGGTGGTGAGTAGAGCCGTCGTCTCCGTCAGCCCTTCTCCGACTCCGACGCTCGGCCGGGCGCCTATCGCGCCACGGCGTGAAAGAGGTGGCTCCCGAGGCAGATCATCGCGTACACGACCTCTCATGACGCTGCATCTTCGGGGGGCCCTCTCGTCCCTATCGCGCCGATAGCCGGGACAGGTCATCGTCGAATCCGTGCCGAATCGACGTCGGCTCCACGTCGAATCCTCGGCGAACCCGTGTCGAATACAACAACATACCGAAATTTACACGGCAGGCTAGGCCCCCCGAAGTTGCCATATAAGACGACCTCGTCCAGAGGTCGCCCAAAGCTACGCCTAGCATTCCTCCCTTCGTGCTCAGAGACGAAGGCGGTCCGAGAGAAGGCCTCGAAACTCGGGGGGTTGTACGGAAGGGGGAGAGGTAATACAGTAAGAACTCAACCGCAAGAAACCTTCCACAAGAGACCCAACCCTGAGACCCCAGGACGTCCATTGGTTTTTGGTGCGGGAACGTCCTTTCAATCGCAAAACCATCGGAACCCAAGAAACCCAGAGCACCCTGCAGGCACGCAGGGTGTTTCTTGGCATGGGTTTCCACTGCACAACGGGGGTTCGGGAATCAGCTGCGCGCACCTGGTTTTCCCCGCACGTGGAGGCGCCATGAGCGACCATGGATCGAGGGACGAGCCAGGCGGCTGGGCCGAAACCAGCTGCATGAAAGTCTCGCCCCCCCTCGCCCACTGAAAGGAAACGGCCACCTTGCACACACCCAGAACCACGATTTGGGCCACGTAGCGGTCACGCTTGGCGCCGCGGGGAAGGAACAACAACAAAGACAGTTTCCGCGTGGCTCTCCTAGAGGAACAAAAACAAAAACGGCATAACCATAAACTTTTGGAGGTCCACGCAGATTTCTTGGATCCGCGCTGACCCTCCTCCTTGGCGCGCGGAGCGCGCCAAAAGCGGCGCCGGAGGCGCCGCCGGGGGGGCCCAGCGCGGACCCAAGAAATCCGCGCAGAGCGCCACAAGTTGATGTTTATGCAATTTTCCTCCTTCGATCTCCAGAGAGAGCTAACATAGGCTTAGCTCGGGCATGTCCTCCTACAGACGGATGTTGGAAGGAAAGTTATACATAGCCAACATATGCTCAAACATAGTCGAAAGATCCTCGCGATACTCTTTTCCGACCATTTTGGGATTTCCTACTGGAGAGGGACATGCCCGACTCTTCCACATGGGCATGCGGTCGGCCACCCGACCTCCTCCGCGTCCAGGCAGCGCCTCGGGCACAGCTCCGCGGCCCGCCAGAATCGGATCTCGGCCTGGAGCCTCTCCCGCAGCGCCTCCAGCTCCTCCGTCGGCTGCCGCCCCGCGCCGAGGATCCGCTCCTGCAGGGGGGGGCCGAGGCCCAGACCCCCCCCGACGTCTCGCCCTCCCCATGGCATCAACCCCCCCGAGGTCCGGACCCACGCCCCGGGACCGGCTTTGCACCCCGCGTCGTGTGGTCGCCAGTCCCGAGGCCCGGTGAGGGCCCCCGGAGGCCGAAAGTAGCGAAGAGCCTCCCGTCGTGATTGTGTCACAACGCGACCGGGGAGCAACCTGGGGGACCCGCGCCCTGGGCCCGCAGCTGTGCTACAATACGCCGCCCCGCAATGAGGGCCGGGGGGGCACAGGAGTACAGGTCCTGGGTCCCAGGATATCCTTGGATCTGGCTCAGGACCGGTGTATGTGCATAACCGCGATGAATCTTAAACAAAAGCTTGTTCGTTACTCGGCGGCGAGCGAGGGTGGAAGTGAGGAGGAGAAGGCCTTCTCAGAAGGCTGGGAAGTCCCCTGGCCTTCAGAGAAAATTTCTAAGCTTACCCGAAGACACGGAAAACTTCTCAGACGGCGCGTGGGCTTCTGAGAAGTCCCGCCGCCTTCTGAGAAGGCCTTCTCCTTCTCACTTCCCCCCTCGATCGCCGCCGTGTAGTGGAAGCTGATCATTTGTTGCGCGGGCTTATTGACGCAGTGGGACCGAAATCGCTACTGGGAAAACGCCGTCGTCGTCGTCGGCCCCCACCAGGGTCGGCGGCTCCGGCCGTAAGGCCTTCGCAATCATAATCACCCCGCGGCGGCCTCTGGTTACTGAGCGAGGAGGGCGAGGAGGGGAGGGAGGAGGAGAAGGAGGAGGAGGAGGAGGAGGAGGAGGAGAAGGAGGAAGAGGAGGAGGAGGAGGAGGACGAGTTGTATTCCCGGCCAAGAGCTAGAAGGGGGGGGGGCAGCACTAAAGACCATCTGCGATTAGTTTTGGCTGCCCGATGGCGCTCGGCGCGCAATTTTCGGGGGGGAGCACGGGAGGGCCACACCCGAGCAGGGAGGCCACTGCTGTTGCACTGCCGTTCAGCCACCTAGGCACCCCCAGCGTACCCGCACCATAGGTCACTGCGCCGAGAAGTCACTCTGACGTATAGCCGACAGATGGGCCTGGCCCAGGATCGGTGCACGGCCAGAGCTAGGACAGGAGAGCATCCTCCAAGATCATGAGACCCTCCGCCGGCCCAAACTGAAGAAGATCAGAGGATACCCTCCCCCAGGATGCACAAGAACACCTAACAAGCACGAAGACCACCAGGGTGCCCTCCCCGAACCGACCTCGATCTGATGCCTCGGTCGGACCGTATGTCAAGGGCGCCTAACTTCGCGTTCCGCGCTGCGCGAAGCGCGAATAACTTCGCGCTCGAGGTATAGCAAGGGCACCTATAGAGGGCGCTGAAGGTATTAGCGCTTCGCGCTTCGGCTCCGATTTCTCCTCGTGCTCCTCTCCTTCCCTGGGGGGAGGCGCGAGAGCGCGAAGTTACTCGCGCTTCGCGCTTCGCGCTTCGCGGAACGCGCGCCCTTTACATACGGTCGGACAGATCGAGGACGGCTCGGGGAGGGTACCCTACTTGGATCGCCGCTGGGGTTGCCAAGAGGATACGGGGGATACAGTCCACTTCGTAAGCTGGGTTAGGCCAGATACAACCCGCTTTAGCATCCACTTCTCATACCCCACCCCCTTGGCAACCACCGCAGCGATCCAAGTAGCTACCACCCCTAACCGATCTGGCCGACGGCCGCCGCGACAACGGCGACGGCTCTGCCCCCCGGGGCTCCTCCGCGTCCCGCAGCCTGCGGACGTCGCCCCCGGCCGCCTGCCGCCCCACGACCCCGAGAACGAACGGGGCGACGGGGTCGCGCTCGGGGTCGAGCTCGCCGAACCTCTGGGCCTCGAGGAAGGCCTCCAGCGCCTCTGGAGCGCGGCTGGACCGATCCCCCCCCCTTCTCTTCAGAGGATGCAGAGGTCCCCATACCGCTACCCTGCGGGCGTCTTCTCCCTCTTCCGGCCTCCTGGGAGGCCCTCGTCGCCACCGCTGGACTCGCCTCGAAATCCTGGTCAGAACGCATCCCAGGAGAGAGGTCCGGGGAGTCGTGGCATCGGTACCTTTTGGTTTGTCCGTTACCTGGAGCGCGGCTGGGCCGATCCCCCTTCTCTCCCTAACCTTCCAGAGTGCTAAAATATATCACTCCAGACCTACAGGCATATCTGGGCTTCCCGAAACCTCGACAGGAGTTTAGACGTCGAGGTCCTGGTGCTACTTTTTAGCCCTCCTGGACGGTCAGGGCTGGAGGCCTCCCAAATGGGGTCCGAGCAGCTGGGGGCGGAGGATCGCGCAGCATCGCCGCTGCATCGCCGCCGCATCGCCGATGCAGCGGCGACGTCGGCGATGCATCGGCGACACCAGCGTGGAAAAAAATCAGGCCCCCCATCGAGCCGCATCGTCGATGCATCGTCGATGCGGCGCGATCCTTCGGCCCCATCTAGCTACGTCGACCCCATCTGGGAGGCCTAGACTACCCCCACCGGCGTGGTCTTCGCCCCGCTGGCCGACCTACCCACTCAGGAGGGGATAGGATGTCTTGCCTGCTCCTTCTGGATTTCCGGAGCGTATCCCCACCTAGGAGGGTGGGCTGGTGGGGCTGAGATACCATAGCCCAGCGGGGCCGTCGATATCTACAGTCGGACCTAGGCCAGAAGAACAGTATTCAAAGAACATTAGACCCTCCGCCGACCAAAACAGACAGAACAGAGCCAAGGGTACCCTCCCCAGGAGGCACAAGAACACACGACAGGCACGACACACATCAGGAGACCCTCCCCGAACCGACCCCGAACTTGAGTACCTCGAACGGACGGCAGGGGAAACGATGCTGGCCTCTGCCGGGCGGCCCCACTGCGCCAGGAAGTAGCCCAGCCGCGCCAGGGCGTGCTGCGCCAGCACCGACCGGCGGCGCTCCGCCGCCTCCCGGCTGGCCTCCCGGAAGCGGACCTCCGCGGCCCGGGCGTGGTCGCGCTCGGCCAGCCACTTGGCGTGCTGGAAGACCCGCAGGGCCCGCGAGGCGCCCATGGCCCCGTGCCCCTGGGCACACTCCGAGGAGAGCAGGGCCTGCTGCATGAGCTCCTCTGCGCGCAGCATCTGGGCGGGGACCCCCGCGCCGGCGCTGTCCTGGGGGGACCCAGCCCCTGGGGGGCGGCACACCGACCTGGGATCGGCGACACCTCGCCGAGAGATCGGAGGTGGCACCCCCGCAGCGAGTCCGCACGCTCCTGAACGAAATGTCGGCGATCATGCCCCCACCGGCGATCAGTAGTCGGAAGCGCGCAAGCACGGATTCGCGATCCACGGATTTGGCGCGCGGTCGCGGAATCCATGGATCAGGGGACGTGCCCTCCCCAAAATGCGGCCGGTGCCGCCTCGCTCGGCGGCGGAGAATCCGCGATCTCCCATGGAAACGGGACCCGTCGCTATAGTCCACGCCCCCTTTGATCCATGTTTGCGCTCGCCTGCAGTAGGCGACTCTAGGGGAACAAAAAGTGATATAAACATAGAAAACTCGGAGGTCTGCGCGGATTTCTCGGATCGGCGCTGGGGCCACCCGGCGGCGCCTCCGGCGCCGCCCCTGGCGCGCTCCGCGCGCCAGGAAGGGGGGTCCAGGCCTGCCGTAGGCGACTCGGCGTCTGTGCATCCCGCCCCGAGCCTACGGTGCCCTGGTTGCGCGGGGCGCTCCTGGGGCCCCCCCCGGCGACGCCCACGGCGAGGCACGGCTGCTGGAGAGCACCCCGGGGCGGGAAGAACCGCCGAGAACCTACGCCAAGGCCCAAAAACCTCCTCCTCCTCCTCCTCCTCCTCCTCCTCCTCTTCCTCCTCCTCCTCCTCCGCGTCTTCCTCCTCCTCCTCCGCGTCTTCCTCCTCCTCCTCCTCCTCCTCCTCCTCCTCCTCCTCCTCCCTCCTCGTCCTTGTCCTCCTCCTCCTCCTCCTCCTCCTCCTCCTCCTCCTCCTCCTCCTCTGAACCTCCAACCCAAAACTGTCCCCCCCTAGGGTTGCCCGGGCAACCGTGGCCCACTTCACCATCAGCGGCGCGCCGCCGTCGGCAGCGCCCACAGCCGCCTGGCGGGGGCCAGACGCACATGCAGGGAGGTGCGTGGGCCTTCGCCCGAAACTTGGCGGCGAGCGAAGGGAGAAACGAGAAGGAGAAGGCCTTCTCAGAAGGCGGCGGGCCTCCTCAGAAGCCCTCGCGCCTTCTGAGAGGTTTTTGTTTGCGTCTTCGGGGAAGGCTTAGAAAACTTCTCAGAAGAAATGCTTGGGGACTTCCGAACCTTCTGTGAAGGCCCACTCCTTCTCACTTCCCCCCCTCGCTCGCCGCAGAGAAACACCGTCTGCAGGTGTTCTTGAACGTCTCACGCTCGCGGGCCTACCTGCCCTGAAGAGTGTCCACTGCACCTTGTGCGGTGGCAGTGGCGAACACAATTTCATGGTAATGTCCCTCTCCCCAGCCTTTTTGGACAGAACGGATCCGATGCCCAACAACATCTAGTGTCCAATACCGACAGCGGGCGCTGTTGGGAAGGCGGCCTCCTGTCTCAAATGGACAACGTCCACCGCAACGCCGGCACGGAACCTTGCTCAAAATGGACGGGAACTACCGTCGGTCTTCGATGTACCGAACCCACTCTTTCCGCACACGCTCTTTCCGAACCCGTGTCGATCATCCCGAACCCACTCTTTCCGTGCCTCCTCCTTCCGTACCCGCTCTTTCCGCACCCGATGCCACCGCACCGAACCCACTCTGCTTGCACCCGCTCTTCCCGCACCCGTTTCGATCGCCCCGAGCCTTGCTCTGCGCCTCCCCCTCTGCGAAGAGCGCCCAACAGGCGGCCTGTTCGTCGGTGCCCTCCCGGGGGACGGCGCCTCCCGCGCCCGCGGCGCCGCCGGCAGTGCCGTCGTCGGCGACGGGGTCCTGTGTCCTTGGGAGGAATTTGAGAAGGCACAGACAAAAGGGCTGCGAAGAGGAGGAAGACAGGGCTCGAGCTAGGCAGTGCCGCTCGTTCCCGTTATGCTGTGGTTGTCCTGCGTTTTGGTTTCCTTCAGATTCTGCAGCGGGGCGATGCCAAAACGAAAACGGCACACGAAATCGCAAAAGCACCGCTGTGCTTGAATCCTGGATGGAGAGGGGGAACAGGAGGAGGAGGAGGAGGAGGAGGAGGAGGAGGAGGAGGGGGAGGAGGAGGAGGAGGAGAAGGAGGAGGAGGAGGCGGAAGAGGAGGAGGAGGAAACAAATATGAAACAGAGAAGGAGGGAAAAATGGAGGACGCGGAAGAGGAACCATGAGAGCCATGCCTCGCAAGTTTGTCCCCATCGGTCGTTTGCGCCCAGTCTCCGGTCCTTGGGACAATCGCATATCGATCAGGCTCGAACAGCGCCGCAAAACGATTGGGCGTAGGTCTCTGATCGTGATGTTTGTACATTGTTTCGCGACGTTGAATCCTGTCGGGAAGGAGCGGGTGGAGGAGGAGGACGGGGAGACTAGAAATGGACATGTCAAGGAAGGGGCGCGCGGAGAAAGAGCGGATAAGGCGCCAATAATGCGGGCAAGGGAGGAGATTCTCACGGCCCCTGAGCGCAAATGGCAGCGGAAAGGGGAGACCGTTACAGCGGGCAAGAGCGAGAAAGGACACAGGTGAACTTTCATTCGGGTCTGGCGCTCAAGCCCGTCCGTCGTGCACCCGGGGAAACAATGCAGAAGAGGACTCTACGAACCGGCCCTTTCATAAAGAACTGCCTTGCGGTAAGAGGACACATACACCTTGTTTCGGCATTTTCCTGGGTTGGCGGACTCCTTACCGCGGCGCCATGCGCAAAAACATGTTACGGCGCCAATGGCAGAAATGGGGCACTCCCGCCGAAGCCCGTGGGACGAGCCGAAGAAGGCTAACCGACCCCCCCACCTGGAAACATGCGAGAATACTTAAAAGCACCTTCTTAAGCAACCGCAAGCTGCCCGGATGCAGTCTGGACAAGCCCGCTCACTCGAATGCTCTACTCAACGATCTCGCCCGCTAATGTCGCATATCCACTTTCTGGTCCCGTGCGACCTCGTGACGCAGTCACGAGAATCATTGCCTCACTTCTGCGTGAGTGACCCATGCTGTGAGCTCGGGGCGGCCATCTTCAACTTCTCGACGCTGAACTTGACCGCGGCGTGGTCATAGCTCATCTGGCCGTCCATCACGCTGAGGATTAGCCTCCCATGCTGCTTTTGGTGATTGGGTGGGCCCGCGCGCACCGAATGTCGCGCCACTGCAAGTCGTCGGTCTGCTCGGCGCGCGGCTGGTCGGCGGCCAACCGCCACAGGTGGCCAGCCACGCTGATCTCGGACGGCGGTCGGACCAGACCCATGAGCAAGGCGCTGAAGACGGACGCGCCGTCGATGACGAGGTGGACCTGTCACTGTGCGCCCTGACTCGCCCAGCGCTCTCCATTAATGGAAACGCGATGCGTGCCTTGATCGTCTGCGCGGCGATTGAGCTGCGTCGCTTGCAGGATGAGCAGCTTGCTGCAGAGCGACGATGCACGCTGCGTCCTGATGCTGGGCGAGCAAGGCAAAGGCCGCTGCTCGCAGGAGGGGTCGGGGAGCTGACATCCTGCGGGCTAATCGGCCTTGGCCTTGACCAAGTAGACGTGCCCGATCGGTATCGGAGCGTCGGAAATCGGGCCCTGGTCGAGCGTCGCGGCGCCGTTGGCACTGCGGCCCTGGTGCACTCCGCAGTTGGTGAAATCGCCGTAGTCACCCTTCATCGAACGCGGTGAACCTCGCCCTCATTCGCGTCGCACGTGATCCACGGCGCGCTGTAGCTGGGGCCTGGGAACGCGCTGTCGGACAAAGTCTGGATTGCGCCCTCCATGGTCGGCGGTGCGGGCGACGTCCCATCCGAAATCTTGCAGTGCTAGTGGCGTGCTCTAAGACCCGGACGGGACGTCCTGGGGCTGCTGGCCTTCTCTGTCGGAGGGCCCAGCCTGGCAGGCCGGCCCGGCAGCGCAGCTCCTTGAAACCATCGGTGACACGATCGCTTCGCTGACAGACTCCGAGGATGTGCTACCCTGCTATATCGCGATGAAGCCTGGCTGAGGAACGTCGCGCCAGTGCGTTCGAAGCCTCCATATCGGCGAGAGGCCGAAGGGATGTCGGGAACGGCCGCGATCTCGGCATCGCCGACGATGCGCTCAGCCGGGCACTGCGATGGCCCTGCTCGACCAAGTACGTCCGCGGGCCAGCGCCTAACGCGATCGCCTCGATCTCGCCGCGGAAGTCGGGGCCCGCCACGCCGCCCGCGACGTCGACCCCTGCGAGGGCGCGGGGGGGGGGGGGGGCGACGCGCAAGCGCGCCCGGCGGTGCTACGGCCACCGCGCCCGTCGACGCCAGTTCGCGACCAGTGGTCGCGAGACTGACGTCCGCTCACGCGTGGAAGTCGTCGCCCGCGGCCCTGGGCGCGCCCCGCGAGGGTGCCCGTGCGTTGAGGGCGAGAGTCTGGGCCTTCGGTCTCTGGAACTCGCGGCGTTCGGTGGCGTCGGAATCCCGGCCGTCGCCGCCCGCCGCCGGCGGCGTGAGCTGCTTGAGCGGCAGGCCCCTGGAGCGCGGCTCCATCTGCTGGTCGCACTCGTCGACAGGGGTGCTCAAGTGGCCGCTCGGCGTCGGCGCGAGGTCGAAGTGGCTGGCGACGGGGCCCCAGGTGATCTCGCAGCCGCGCCGCCCAAGAGGCGCCGGGCGCTCGCGGGCGAAGCCTGTCTCCACCGCCCCGTCGTTGGACTGCGTGGACTGCAGGCTTATCTGGGCAGGGAAGTCAGCTCCCGCGCCCCCCGCGTCTGCGGCGCTGTGCTGACTGGCCACGCCGTCGCGGGGTGTCGCCGCGATGCGGCGGCGGGGCCCGTCGGCGCAGTTGCCGACTCCAGTGGCGCGAAGTGGAAACGACAACTTTTCTTCGGGGGGCCGCAGTTTGGCTCGCTGGGCCGCGCGAGCCAGATTGATGGCGAAACGCGCCGGCGTCGACGATGGCGCGCGCAAGGCACCCCGGCAGGTCGGCGCTCGCAACGGAGCGCGGCAAGTCGCTTGATGGACTCGATCCCGCGGCCGACGAAGTTGGCCACCACGGGGGCGACGGCCTGTAGGGCGGCGCGCGCACGTCCAGCCGGGCGTCGCAGGGCACCGCCGTGCTCGCTGCGAACGAGGCGCCCCGGGGGCTGGGACTGGCCGAGGAGACCGCGCAAGGTCGCGCAGCGGTGCGACCCGGATTTTGCGCGCCCCTGTCCGACGCTGCGCGGGCCGGCGACGCAGCGCCCAGAAACGCAAGCGCACCGTCTACGGCCAGGCGGGTCGGCGCCGCAGGCGTCAGAACCGGGGGCGCGCGATCCACGCCAAAAACGGAAAACGGCGATGTCGTCGGCTTGTCCGCGGCGCGCCGGACAGCGCGCCAAACGGGCGTCTGCGCTCTTCGGAACTTGCTGAAAACGAGCTCGGCGCAAAACGCGGCGGCGCAGCAGGCGCGCCGCCCGCCTGCCGCGGCGGAAGGCCTCGCGGCAGATGGGGCGCGCCCTCTCGTCGCCGCAGAAGGTCAGGTCTTTCCTGAGTGGGCCGGAACTGCAGTCGGCGCAGCGGCCGGCGCGGGAGGGGGGGGGCAACAGGTTATCCGTCCAACTGCGTGCGGTCTGGCGTCGTTGCTCATCTAGCTGCCGCGCGAACAATAGCGCCTGCTGTGCGCTGTGGAGCTCGTCGAGGCGCCGCCGTTGCGCGCGGTCGAGAGCGGCGCGTGCGTTCAGATCGGACAAGCCGCCGCCGCACATCCAGGCGTCGCGGCCGACGAACCCTGAAATTCTGGGCGGTTGGCTCACGTCGACGGGGCTGTCCTAATAGAACATAGCCAAAGGATCCTTGGGTCTCCAGCGCTGGCGGCGACGTAGCTGCCAGAGCGGACTGCGGCGGCCGCGTTGAGCTCGATCGATATGGGGTGCTGATGCCGAGGGCTGACACTGAAGGCATGCATGCCCAGCTCGGCAACTGCGCGTCGGCAGACTGGATCGGGGGCGAGGCGATGCGCGCGCTGAGGTCGCCAAAGCTATCCAGTCGCGCCCTGGATTAGTCCTAGTGGGAAGGCGCTGCACACTTGTGTCCACCGCTCACTGTGGTGTCGTTGGTGGCGGTGGTGCCGCTGAGGCTGCTGGAGCTGCAGGCGCTGTCGGCGCTCCTGAAGCCGGCGCGGCTGGCAGCGCCTCCCCCGCTGCTGCCAGACGGCCCGGCGCAGCAAAAACCCGAACCGTCGGCGCTGCAATGGCTTGCGCACTGCCGGCGAGGTCGGCCACGACGAACTCGTCGGAATTTGGCTGCCTGTGGCGGGGGCGAGGACGATGGAGATGTCGCTGCCCAACTTGACCAATGGCTGAAGGCAATAGGTTGCCACGAGCCGGCCGACGAAAAACTCGGAGTGGCTGCTGGCGCTGATGTCCGTGGCGCTGGTGTTGCTGGAATGGCTGTTCGCCTCTCCGTGGGGCAGCGCTCTGCACCCGGCGCGGGCCGCTGCTCGGAAGGCCCCGGCGACCCTTGCAGCCCCAGAAGAGAGAACGGCGAAGATGATGATGCTGGTGGCGCTGGGGCGCGCGCGCTGAAAAAGAAATCGCACCCTTGCGGGCGGCGCCCGGGACAGTCGCGCACAACGTTTTTTTGGAGTCGCGCTCGAAGCATTTGAGAAGTTCCCTGTCAGGGCCCATTGGTCTGCTATGGCGGCCCGAATGCCTGCGCCCCCGAAGGTCTCCTGGAGGTCGTTTTCGGAAAGTGTGGCTGCGAAAGCGCGGTCGCTTTTACCCTTGCCGTCGCCCTTCCGTTCGGTGACCCTTCGGACGTGGCGCGTGGGCTTGCGATTGTTGAAGCTGCGCCTGTGTGGATTGGCGCGCTCGCAAGCCGGGACGACGCGCGCGCCGCGCTTTTCCACGGGAGTGTCGCGCAGCTCGGGTTCGTCGGCGGCTTCCACCTCGCCGAATAAGCTGGCGGCGTCGGACTCGATCTCTGCCGCTGCGCGCACCCCGTGCCGGCGGCGCCGCGCTAGAGGCGCAGCCTCCTGACGCGACCTCGGCCGGTGCGGGGGGGCTCGGTGCCGCCGACCCCAGTGCCGCAGGACTGGCGCCGCCCCGGCGCTGCTCCCACGCGGGCGCGCTCGCGAGGAACGCGCGCCGTTGGGCAGAGGGGGCCGCCGAGGCGAGGTTACTTGGCGACCCCTCCATGATGCGCCCGTTTTTTTTCGCTGGCCCGTGACGCGCGCGGCGAGCTGCCGATCGTTCGTGGCGCAGGCCATGCATGCTGTAGCGCAGCAGGAGCATTGCGATCTGAGCGTTCGACGCGCCAGCGGCGCGCAGCAGTGGGAATCTGAGCCCTTTGTAACCGACCATGATTTGAGCAGATTGAGGCCTCCCCAGAGGCCCAGGCTCGATGCATTCACGCCTTCTTGGCGTCGACAAAAGGCCAGAATTATACACCGATCCTGGGCCCAGGCTTGGCCTGGCCAGGATCGGTGTAGGCGCACGGTCCCCAAGCCCCTTCGCATTGCGAAAAATGCGCGACGGGAAGCTAGTCTCTCCGTTCTGCCACCAGGCCCCCCCTACCAGGCTTCGGGACCGTCCACAGAACGACTCAGGATGCAACGCCGGTCCCAGGGAAGGAGTCCAGACCTCTGGGGGTCGGCCCTATGTGTGTATTATATATATATAGATAGATGTCATGCTTATTTTATATATATATATATATACATATATATATATATATATATATATATATGTCGGAGGTCGGGGCTAGTCGAACCCTCCGAATTGTTCGTGAGCTCATGCAGCAGTCGTTCGCCCTCGATTGAGCAGGGACCGACCAAGCTGGCATTCTTATGGTCGCAGAACAAATGAGCGCTCGCATAACAAAATACATGTTCTTTGAACATGAGCCCCCGTAGTGAAACAAGACAGTCTCAACAAGTCATGGTCTAGAAACATTTCGTGCAGACCACAACAAATTTTTTCGTGCAGCCGCAACCACATTCTCTTATAGGCAAGCCGGGACGCTTCGCCGCTGCTCGAAACCTCGGGGCTCTGGGATAGTCCTGCCCTCCGAGTTGTTCGCGCGCTCCTGCAGCTGTTGCCCGCCCTCGAGTCCTATTCTCTGGCGCCCGGCGCGACGCCAGCCGCGCCGCGGCGGCGCGCGCGATCGTGCCGCCGCCGTGCGGCACGAGGCTCCCGGGGCTCCCGACGGCACAGCCGTCCGCCCAGCAGACGGCGCGCGCGACCGGGGGGCAGGCGGCGGCGAGGGCGCAGCCCAGCAGCGGCCAGCGCGACATCTGTGGCCGTTGCTGTCGGGTCGGACGAGAGGGGGGGGGATAGCAAATCGGGGATCTACTGGCCCGGGTCAATCCTGGTCGGGTCAGTCAGGGCTTGCAGGATTCGGCAAGATCCTGTAGGATCCCACACCCCGGTCAATGCAACCCTGGCTCTGCAGGATCCTGAAAGATCAGGCGCTCTGACTGACCCCTGTTTGCATTTACCTCCGTCTCTTGAGCCCCGAGCAAAAGGCGGGGGGGGCAGTGGGGGCCTCCCACATGCGGTCCGAGCAGGTTGGGTCGGACGCTCGTGCCGCATCGCCGATGCATCGACGTGCATCGGTGGCTCCACGTCGAGCCGCATCGCCGATGCATAGGCGATGCGGCGGGAGCATCCGACCCCATCTACTCGGATCCTAACTGGGAGGCCCGGAGTAGCGAATCGGCTCACATAACCAGTTATCCTGCCGCCCCCTGGCGTCAGAGGCAAGCGGGTATCGAGGACCGGCGGCGAGGCCGAAACCAGCCGCATGCAACCCCTGTCCCCCCGTCCCCTTCCTTCCGCCCGGCCCAGGATTAGAAAGACAGCTTATGTAGGGGAACCAAGTCGGCGCGGCCGAGGGGTGACGGACAGCGCGCTTGCCTGATCGCTGAATCGCTCGAACTTGGCTGCGGAGGAGGAACCGCCATGGGGAGAGGGTAAGAGAGAGAGAGAGAGAGAGAAAGAAGAGGAAGAGGAGAAGGAGGAGGAGGAGGAGGAGGATCAGTGCAAACCCAAGACTCATCAACGATGTTAGAGTAAACCTCCTTCCGAGCTCCCTCGTCATAGGCTCCCCCTGCAGGGGGTGATTTCCACTCAGGGAACTGCCTCGTCGGGAGACAACAACCGTTTGAAGTCCCTGAAGCGTGCCAAAACACCATTCTCGGGACGACACGAATCAACATGCCTGTTGCGTCTTGACGATCCGGAATCGTGCCAAACACCCTTCCGCGGACTTCAACACCGCGCATCAACGAAACTGCTGCGCCCTCACAAACCTCAACCCGTCCAAAACATAATTACTGGCACGTTGGCCATGGGAATCCGTGAAGAATGTGTCAGCCGAAAGTGCGCGGCGCTAAGGCGAGAACAAGATTTTGTAACTCACCTACTCTCAATCCGTGGAACTACTGCAAATGTTGAACACGAATGTGCGCGGCGCTAAAGCACGAGCCCCATTTGAAAACCACCCGCCCTCGATCGACGAACCCTTCCAATTTGTTTGAGCAAGTGTGCGGGGCGCTAAGGCGAAATCCACACTTTGAAAAACCTCGCCCTCAATCCGCGAAACTCTTGCAATAGTGTAAAACGAATGTGCGTGGCGCTGATGCGAGCGCCACATCTTGAAAACGGCCCGCCCCCAATTCGTGAAACTTGTTGTAACAAACCGACATCCGCGCGGCACAAGCGCGAGAGCCACACATTGGAAACGATTCGCCATCCATGTGTGAGACTGCTGTCAATATCTAAGCTTGAAGGTCATAGATGGTGAGGACGTCTCAAGCGAAACTCCCGCCCCGCTCTTTCGACCTGCCGGTGTGACAGAGTTCTTCTAAGGAAACGAGTTGAAGGAGGAGGAGGGCGAGGACGAGGAGGAGGAGGAGGAAGGGAAGAGGGGGAGGAGGTGGAGGGAGGAGGGGAAGAGGGGGAGGAGGTGGAGGGAGGAGGAGGAGGAGGAGGAGGAGGGATGAGGAGGAGGAGGAAGAGCCGCCGGGGGGGGGGGGGCGAGAGAAGGTCGGCGCTCATCGGGAGAAGAGCATAGGCCTGGAATTGGCGATACATCGCTGATAGATCGGCGATGGGCCCGCGGTAGCAAATTCCGAACGCTCCGTGGCGGGGTGGGCTATCGGGCTCCCATGGGCGATGAATCGGAGATTGGGGCGATTGGGCCTCAAGCGTTGCCCCTGATGTTCGTACTCCTACTCATCGTCATTAGTCTCTCTACCTCATCATCAACATCAAGATCATCACCATAATCATCATCATCATCATCACTGTCCTCCTCCTCCTCATCATCATCATCAGCATAATCATCATCCTCATCATCATCATCATCATCACCATCATCCACCATCACCCACCATCACCCAATATCATCGTCATTATGATGATCATCATCGTCCTCGTCCTCGTCCTCCCCTCATCATCCACCCTCACAACCATCATCATCAGCATCATCATCGTCGTCGTCGTCACCATCACCATCACCATCACCAACATCCTCATCACCATCAGCAGCAGCATCCACAGCAGCTTCATCAGCAACTTCATCACTATCATCGTCATCGTCATCGTCATCGGCATCGTCATCACAATCATGAACATTATCATCAGCTACAGCATCGGTATCCTCATCATCGGTATCATCAGCAACTTCGGCGTTATCACTATCACCATCGACATCGCTATCGTCATCATCACCATCAACATCACAATAATAATCATCATCATCAACAACAGCATAATGAGCATCATCATCAGCCGCGGCATCATCATTACCACCATCATCATCACCATCATCATCATCATCATCATCATCATCATCATCATCATCATCATCATCATCATCATGGTACACATCATCCTCATCATCGTCACTTGCATAATCATAAAGTAACAGTGTCATGATCGCCATCACCATCATTATCACCATCATGATCATCATGGTCCGCACCATCATAAACATCATCATCAGCATCATCATCCTTATCGCCATCGCCATGGTCATCATCACTAGCATTGCCATCACCATCATCATCATCATCATCATCATCATCATCATCATCATCATCATCGTCATCACCATGCAGTATCAGCATCATTATCACCATTATTACGTCAACATCATCACCATCACCATCACCATCACCATCACCATCACCATCACCATCATCATCATCATCATCATCATCAGCAGCAGCAGCATCATCATCATCATCACTTCTCGTCCTCCCCCTCCTCCCTCCCTCATCCCCCTCCTCCGCTCCCCTCCCCCACCCCCATCCCCTCTTCCCCTCCTGCTCCTCCTCCACCTCCTCATGCCCCTCCCCGACGATCCAGCTCCTAACACCCCTCCTTCTCCTCCTCCTCCTTCCTCCGACGCTCCGGCTCCTGCCACCCTAGGACGACGCCGCCGCCGACACCAACGGCGACGACCCAGCCGACGCCGACGCCACCGACGACGATCCCACCGCGGTCGTCGTTCGCCGAGGCCGCCGACGTCGGCGGCCCACGCCGACGGCGACGCCCGGCGCGCGGGGAGCGCCAGGGCCGCGGCGCCTCCTTGGAGAACCACTTGTCGGGCGGCAGGTACCACGGCGTGCGCGGCTGCGCGCGGGGGCGGCGAGCAGCAGCTAAGGAAGTGGCGGCTACTGGGCCTCGGACGCCTGCTCTCAAACGCGGCCGCCGCCGTCGTCGTCGTCGTCGTCGGCGTCGGCGTCGGCGTCGGCGTCGGCGTCGGCATTGGCGTCGGCGGCGGCGGCGTTGTCGTCGTCGTCGTCGCCGCCGCCGACGTCGCCGGCGGCGGCGGGGCGCGGGGCGGCGAGGGGCGCCATCCAACCCCTGCCGCCCGCGGTAGACCAGAGGAGAGGCGCCTCATAGTGGAGGCCTGTCCACAAGAAACCTCCCACAAGAAACCCAACCGTGAGACCCCAGGACGTTGCTTGCTGTGGGAACGTCACGCTCTCCACACTGGAGCCATCGAAGCCGAAGACACCCAGGGGACCCTGGAGGCAAGCAGGGTGCCACTTGGCATGGGTTCCCACTGTGCACCAGCGGGGAGGCGCCACACAGACCACAGAAGCGTGCTTTTTGTCAGAGGCCCGCGGGGGACTTCTTGGGGTCGGCTGGGCGGCTTCTGCGCCGCCTCCCTGGCGGGCCTCGCGCACCAGGGAGGCGGGCCAGCACGGATGCACGAGGGGCGCGCGGGCCTCCGGAAGCGCAAGAGGAGCACGACGAGGCAGCTCTCAGGAGGTACTCGCGGGATCGACGGAGAGCTGCTCGGCCCGACGGAGCGGCTGTAAGGCCAGGTTGAGTCCGATTCAGCCAAGGATCAGGCGGGGTCCAGCGGAACTTGGCCAGAGTTCGGCCACGCATGCACCAGGGCCGATACTGAATTCAACCTCTTGGGAGTTGCAACCTGAAGCGGAGGATCGTTGCACCTCCACTTGGCGCCCTTTTCGAACTGCGTCTCTCCTCCGCCCGGGCCTTGCCTTTCTTCTTTCTTGCGCGGGCGCCGCTGTTGCACGGCCTGAGAGGCACCACCGGGCACAGTCGCTCTAGCGTAAAAGAAGAAGAAGAACACGATCGAGGCTGGGGGCTGTTGGGCGCGTATTTGAGGCCTTCTTGGGGCGTCCAGCCTGCCCTGGGGGCCCAGCCAAGCGTAGCCTGCCCAGCCCCTGCTCAGCTGGCCTCCGAGGCCGTTTGCGGTCCTCGCCCCTGCACCCCCCTGGATTAAAAATTTCTCTCGGCACCGCGATCAGGGCTGGACCCGACATACCAGGGCGAGACGGGCAGGGAGGGGGCGACGAGAAGGAGAGGGAGGGGGGCGACGACGAAGACGACGGCGACCGCCCTGAATAGAGGCTTCCCAGATGAGGTCCGAGCAGAGGAGGCCGAATCAGGCCGCATCGTCCATCACCGATGCATCAGCGACGTCGGCGATGCATCGGCGACGCAGGCGTGGAGAACATCGGGCTCCGCATCCAGCCGCATCGCCGATGCATCTGTATTGCGGGGTGATACGACCCCATCTGCTCGGGACCCGCCTGGGAGGTCTGGCATAGCGAATCGGCTCATGTAGCCAGTTCTCCTGCCGCTCCCTGGCGCCAGAGGCGAGCAGGTGTCGAGGAACGAACCTGGTGGCAGGGCCGAAACCAACTGCATGCAGCCCCTCTTCTCGCCGGCCCCCTTCCTTGCGCCTGGCCCGCAACGATGGCGACGACCGCCCTGGAACGACCTGTCCTCACCGTGGGCCCGTCTGTTGAGCAGAGACCGACCGTCCCGGCATTCCTATAGGCCTACCACGACATGTTCTTGTCCTAAGAACAAAAACAATGCTCTTAGAGCATGAACCCGATGTGCTAAAGCAAGACAGTCCTCGCCAGAAGTGTTAGAACATAGCTTGGTTGGCACACCAAGACGCTTCGCCACTGCTTGACTGTCCTCACCGTGGAGCCCGTCTGGCGCGGCACCGCGGGAAGATCGCCTTCGGGGGCGCCCTGGGCCGGCTGTCTGCCTGGGGCCTGGCGCGCGCGCGCGCCGCACGCGCCCCTCCCCCCTGTGGGAGGGGGGGCCTTGCGGCGGGAGGGGCGGGGGGGAATGGAAGGCGGACCAGGTCTATCGGATATTCAGAGATCCGGACTTGCCCAACGTCTCCCCCTCCTCCTTCTCCTCCTTCTCCTCCTCCTCCTCCTCCTGTTCCTCCTCCTCCTCCACCTCCTCCTCCTCCTCCGTCTCTTCCACAATTACTCAATATGAATACTACTCTCCCTCTTCCCCTGATGACATCTTGGGAATATTCGCCCCCCCCTCCGCGTACTGTTTTTTTACACGCAGGTTTCCCCAGAGTTGGGTTTTCGCATGCATTTGTTTTTTTAAATGCTGCTCTCGCTGAGGCTCCGGGCCTCATTTTCGGGCCCCGCTCGGTCCGAATCGCGTTCCCGCTGCAGCGCTGGCATCATTTCCGCCGGCGCCCAGGCTGCACGCCCGAGCCGGCGCCCGGGCCGGCGCCCGCGGGCCGGGTCCGGAGCCCGTTCTGGCCGGCACCGGAAAATGGAGTTCCGAGGCGGCGCCGAAAAAAGGCTATTCCAATACGCATTTTTCTTTGGAAAATGCTGAATGTTTTCTTCTGGCGCCTGGGAGGCCTCCCGGGCCGATTCCGACGCGCCCAGGCCGGCGCCCGAGCCGGCGCCCCGACCGGACGCCCGAGCCGGCGCCCGCGGGCCGGCGCCCGGGCCGGGTCCGGAGCTGTTTCTGGCCGGCGCCGGAAAATCGAGTTCCGAGGCGGCGCCGAAAAAAGGCCATTCCAATACACATTTTTCGTTTTAAAATGCTGAATTTCTGCTTCTGGCGCCCGGGAACCTGCAATGTTTCCCAGAATGCTACGTACTCTCGCTGAAGCGCCAGCCTCATTTTCGGGCCCCGCTCGTTCCGAATCGTGCTCTCGCTGCAGCGCTGGCCTCATTTCCGTGCTTCCGCTCGTTCCGAATTGTGCTCCCGCTGCAGCGCTGGCCTCATTTCCGCGCTTCCGCTCGTTTCGACTCGTGCTCCCGCTGCAGCGCTGGCGTCATTTCCCGTGCCATGCCACGGCATGCAATGCAATGCCAGGTTGATACTACGCTTCGCGGTGCTCTTCTACGCCATGCCATGCCATGCTCTACAATGCATCGCGTACCCTTTCGGGATCATCGCCCTGCTTGACATCCCACTGTCCGAGTAGAGAGGGGATTTGCGCCATGGTAAGGGATGGGAGGGAGGGGTAGGATGTCAGATATGACGCGAGCGCACCTAGCTTGTCTCCCTCCCCCTCCCCCTTCTCCCCCTCGCCCTCCCCTTCCTCCCCCTGCCTCCCCCTTCCTCCCGGATGAGAAGGGGGAGGAAGGAGGAGGAGGAGGAGGACTACTCTGGGACTGCTTCGCAAACCCAGGGAGCCACTCAGGAGACGCACCCGGGGCGGAGCGCGACCACCCCGTGCTCGGAGCCGAATCTCCCGAAGAGGAGAAAGGAGGAGGACGACGACATGAGAAGGACGACGACAAGAAGAGGAGAGATGAGATGTGAGAGAGGCAAAATAGGTGCGCTCGGGCCATACATATACCTTCTACCAATTCATTCCGATCGCGCTGTTGTTTACTAGAATAGCGGACTTGCATCTCCAAAAAGGCTCGTTATCGTGGTATGCACAAGCAGAACATGGGAGCCGCGTACATTGAAGGAGACGGCGGATAAGCAGGGGGATGAGCAGGAGGAAACGGAGGACGAGGAAGGAGGAGGACGACGAAGACCAGCAGCAGTAGCTAGAGTGGAAGGAGCCGGAGGAGCGGGAGGAGCAGGAGGACCAAGGGAAAGCGGAGGAGGGCAAATGAGAGGGGGTGACAAAAATGAAAAAGGAATCTAGAAACGTGCCTCACGCTGGGGCGAGAGCGCCACTAGGAACGATGGGAGCAAAGCGCCGACCGAAAACAAGGCTCACGCTGCAACGGGAACACCAGTTTCAAACACCGAAAACAAGTTTCCGAAACAATGTTTGCACTCAGCGATTCTTCCTTTTGTTCTGAGGAACTGGGCCGCGTCGTCGGTCTGGCAGCATGTTTCGCCTCGTCGCCGCCCGTCGTCTGGGCCGTGTCTTCGGTCTGGCGGCCACGTGGCCGCCGTCGCCGCCCCGTCGCCGCCTCGTCGCCGCCCGTACATGGGGCTGCCTGTCAGTCTGGTGGCTACGGTGTTGCCGTCGTCGCCCCGTCGCCGCTGGTCAGCGCCAACAAGTTCTACCACGTAGATTGCACAGCATACATCGCACTATGTGCATACATCGCACCGCATATAGTGCACCGCATACAGCGGGGGCGCGTCCGCACGACCCCCCCGCACGAAACCCAACTCTGAACATCAAAACAATGTATTGCCCAGGGTCTGGGCGTCTTAGCCACAGGATCCAAGCGAAACAAATCAGGGTGCGAGGTGCGATTGGGGGGAAGCCCAGTGTACCCTGAGGGCAGACATGTTGCAACGGTCGGGGCAAGTCACCGCGCATCGCTGGGAACGAAGACATGCATGGCACCCTCGCGAAATCCATGTGGTTTCTTGGTGCGAGCCTCCACTGTAGATTGCACCAGACAGACCGCACAACACTTGTAGCACCAGATAGAGAAGAGCACCACATAGATTGCACCACATACATTGAACCACATAGATCGCCCATCATAGAAGGCACCACGTAGATTGCCCCGCAGGCACATCGTCGATTGCATCGCAGATATTGCATAGCCTAGACCGTACACCATATGTTTACCAACATGGATCTCACCACGTACGTAGATCGTACACCATACATTTCACAGCAAGTATTGCATAACATATCTCGCACAACATCTATTGCACCACACACATCGCATCACATGCGGTGCACCACATAGCCTACACCGATTACACCACATGTGTTGCTCCACAACTGCTGCTTTACACAAGCTGCACTGAACATGCTGCTAGAAACCCACAGCTGGGGGTCCACGCTGGCTAGCAGTTGAAGTCGCGTGTAGAAACAATACGCTGAGAGGGCAAACTGTTTTCCCGACAGAGTCAGGAGAGAGAGGAGAGGGGCAATCACAGTGTGCGAAGTGTAGCGAGGAGGAGGCCGCCGCCTCGTGTGTGAGCGCTCAGCAGGCTGCCTGAGAGAAGGAGGAGGATGAGGAGAAGGAGGACGAGGAGGAGGAGGAGGAGGATGGCTGCGACTGGATGGACACGCGTGCACCCAGCATCGAGGCATCGAGGAAGAAAACGAGGAGGGGGAGGAGACGGAGGATGGAGGATGAGGAGGGAGGAGGAGGAGGAGGAGGAGCATCGAAGAGGAGGGGAGGGCGAAGAGGAGGGGAAGGAGGGAGGAGGCCGGCGCCTCGCGTGTGATCGCTCAGCAGGCTGCCTAAGAGAAGGATGACGACGACGACGACGACGACGACGACGATGATGATGATGATGATGATGGTGATGATGATGATGGTGATGAGGAGGAGGAGGAGGAAGAGGAGGATGTGGATGACTGCGACTGGATGGGCACGCGAGCCCCCAGCATCGGGAGATCGAGGAAGACAGGTGGAAGAGACGGAGGACGGATGAGGAGGGAGGAGGGAGGAGGAGAGAGGAGGAAAGAGGAGGGAGGAAGTGGGAGGAGGAGGAGGAGGTCACGCCGTCGTCGAACGATGGGAAAGGCAGGCTCGCCGTCCTCACTGACAACTCTGAGCAAGGGAGGCAAGGAGGAGGGACGGAGGGGGGGGGGGAGAGGTAGCGGCGAGGGAGGGAGGAACGGCGAGGGGGGCTGCGGAGGGGTGGGTGGGATGTGGGACGTGGGACGAGGTCGGGGGGGGGGGGGGGGGGGGGGACGGCGAAGAGCGAAGAGAGACGGGGGGAGCGAGGGCGGAGCGGGACGGGGAAGGAGGGGAGGGAGCACGGGGAGAGCCTGGGGGCGAGGCATGGGGAAGTGGGCGGAGAGAGCGCGAGGGGCCGCGAGGGGAAGCCCGGGGAAGGGGGGGAGAGAGAGGGAGAAGAGGGAGGGGAGGGATACGGAGCAGGGCGGAAGGGAATGGCCACGGGTGAAGGAGGGAGGAGGGAGGAGCAGAAGGAGGAGGAGGAGCAGGAGGATGAGGAGCAGGAGGAGGAGCGGGAGCAGGAGGAGGAGGAGAAGGAGCAGCAGGCGGAGGAGGAGGAGGTGGAGGAGGATCCTCCCTCCTCCTACTCCCCCCCCCCCCGTCCTCCTCCTCCTTCTCCTCCCTCTCCTGGCCTCCCCCCTGGCCTCCTTCGCCCGCCCCCCCCCTCCTGTTCCTCCTTGTTCTCCTCCTCCTCCTCCTCCTCCCCCTCCTCCTCCTCCTCCTCATCCTCATCCGACGACGACGACGATGATCTCCTCCTTCTCCTCCTGCTCCGCCTCCTGCTCCGCCTCCGCCTCCGCCTCCGCCTCCTCTTCCTCCTCCTCCGCCTCCTCCTTCTCCTCCTCCTCCCCATCCCCCTCCTGGGTGACGACGACGACGCCAACAGCGCCAACGACGCCAACAGCGCCAACGACGCCAACTCCGACGGCGGCGGCGACGCTGACGGCGCCCGTTCGG